AGGCAGAAGAAAGAAAGTGGGGAGACTCCTCCTTCCTCTACCTTTTGTTGTATTCAGATGCTTATGGATTGGATGATTTCCAACCACAATCTACTTTGGGCCATCTGTTTTTTCTGATTTAATCAATTTCTTCATAAACATGTGGAGAAATTCCTTTAGGCTACATATCTAGGAATAGTGTTGGGTGTGCATGTCTTCAGCTTACCTAGATATTGCTGAATTGTTCTTCAAAGGCCTTGGACCAGTTCAAACTCCTTCTACAGTACACCAGTTCCTGTAGTGCTAATCTTTCTCAGAAACAGCCTCACAGTCATACTCAAGAACAATTTTTAATCTAGGCACACCATGGTCTATTCATGGTCTATTCAACACAAAATTAGCCATCACTAACCATCAATAATTCACTGTCAAAGAAATGAATACCCACAGTGACAATAATAGTAGTCGGGATTACAATGGTAGTGTCTGTCTCACAGGGTTGTTGTGAGGATTGAGCAAGTTAATATATGTAAGTTTCCAAGAACACTGTGATTGGTACATAGTAAGAAATATGTAAATGGTAGCTATAATTGCTTGATTTTGGCCAATAAACTGTTTCCAGTGCTGCAAGAAATGTCAAAGCAGGAACTGAAATCCGAATCCAGAGCAGCAATATTCGACTTCAGGGAAGGATGGAAGAAAGTTTGAGCTTGAAGATATCAAAGATCAACCTGCAACCCCCTCATTTTATATACGAGGGTACCAGAGACATGTCTCAGGAGTAACTTTGACATTATCTTAAAAGACATTTCAACATTATGAAAATGTAAGTTGCTAATAATTGTTATTCTCTTTCCATCCCATTTGCTTCAACTCTCCTTTCAGAGTGGTAGTTTTGCTTTTATCCCCATCATAAATTCCAGTCCTACATCTCCTACTGAATCCTCAAATTCAGTGTGCCTAAAACTAAATCCCTCTTTCCCCGCAAGCCCATTCCCCCTTTTCCACATGTCCCATAACCCACAGCAGCATCTGTGGGCAGCAGCGTCACCAGCATCATCTCCCTCCCCTAGGGCTCAGCACATCCAAGGAGTCCCAGTATTTCCCTGTGCACGGTGGCTGTTCTGTCCTCCTCCCATTCTCTCCACCCTACCTTACCCTATTTCATGCCTCAGGCCTCACTCAGAGTCACTGAAATTCAATCCAGTTGCTTTGCCACAGCCTCTTCTCTGACTAGGCTACATCAGAGCCTTCCTTGGATAAATCTTATTTGCATAAATACTCTTTCATCTTTTAGTCCCCTGCTCAAAAAAACCTCCTCACATTCACTAGGATGGCTTCCAAACAGTCTGGTCCCCCGAGTCCTTCCTCCCCACTTACCCCCTACCCATGCTTGTGCCACCAGCCAATCTGGACTCTCCAACATTGCTGGACTAGAATTTCTCCTTTCTTCCTGTGAATGCAACAACTAAAATTGGAGGGCAGCCAGCAAGGACAGAAAAGGAAGGCACAGGGCTCCCATGCAATAAAACCACACCAAGAGGCAGGGTCGAGAAGGGCCTGGGACTGCTGGCTCCACACGCTGTCCTCTTCTGACTCTCCTCCCCTTTTTTGAGGCTGCCTTCGATGTCTGTTTGAACCAGGATAGGATACATTGCTAAGCATGAGTTACCCAGTGTGTTTCCCCTGGTCACTCACTCCCATCCTAACAGTCCCTCCACTGGGGACAACTCCCCTACACCTTCATAATAAGCACACTGACACCAAAATAGAACAGGTACCTTTTAGGCACACAGAGCAGGGAAGTCCTTTTTTTCCCATGAAGGGAAAAAAGCTGCTTCTCTTTCCTCTTTGTTTTCCAAAGTCCCCTTTCATCCAAGGGATAAGCTGCTTTCACCTTGGCAGTTTTTAAAAGAAAAGTCTGTTGCTAAAAGGCAACAGCCCAGTTGGGAAGTGTTTAACGTGGGATGACAGTGGCATCATCTACAAACAAAATGGGCAGCTCCTGAGAGGGCAGGAAGACTAGCTCTTCTGCCTCTCCTAATGGAGAATAGATGGACGAAAATATGAAAATAAATTCAAGATATTCAATACAAGTGGCAGCAAAGCTTTCATCCTGACGCTTCTAAGAGCGAAGCCCCAAGCAAAGGCAACCACCCCTTCCCTCCAGTGACTTCTAAAGGCCAGGAGAGCGGGCTCCTCCCTAAGACCAGGACCCCCAAGCAAATTCGAGGAGAAACTGGAGCCAACTAAAGTTGAAGTAGGTGTGTATTTGTCCCAAGCCATTTCTGATTAGGGCCCACATTACTAAACAGAGCTGAATGGCTAGGATTTCTAGGTCAAGAGAGATAAGAGGTCTACAAGGATAAAAACCATATCACCTCTGGAATGTGGGGTTAGGAGTTTCTCTCATTTTCTACTTAATAGGCATTCTTATAACTGGAGTGGGGGAGGAATTTTGGACGTTATCTGATTGTAATTTGCTCTAAATGCTAAGAAGTTAATATTTTAATATTAGTTGATCAAATTTTAAGATGCAGAGACTGACTTCAGCACTCCACTGCCATCTATCGCTGAGCATACGACCATGAAGAAAATGAGTCCTCTGGACTCTGGAGCCTGAATTCATATGACTGCAGCCCGTCTGGTGTCACCTCCTGCCTGCCTGGCTGCTCTACCAGCCTGATGGAGGGCCACTGCTGTGGCTGGATTCCCCCACCCACTAGTTTTAAGAACACCAGAAAATGTTTTCTGGTGTTCTTAAAAACCCCTTGTTCCCCACCCAGGTCCCTGAGCAATCGCCCTCATCCACTTCACCTACTGCCAACCCTACCACCTCCTCCCGATCAAGACTGAGTTGTGTCAGACATTCTCAGTGAGCGGGTGCTGCCGCTATGGAGCTAACTGCCAATTTGACCATGGCCTGGGTGAACTGTGCCAGGCCAATCACCACCCCAAGCACAAGACAGAATCTGCCACAAATTCTACCTCCGGGGCTGCTGTCCCTACAGCTCACAGTGCCACTTTATTCACAACCCTAACCAGGACCTGGCAGCCCTTGGTCACCCCCCTGTGCTGCTCCAGAGCATCAGCTTCTCTGGCCTCCAAACCTCTCCACCACCTGGCAGGCCCTTCCCAGTCCTCATGTTCCTTCTTGCCCTCCAGCTCCCCATCACCACCTGGGGACCTTCCTCTTTCACCTTCTGCCTTCTCTGCCTACCCTGGGATCCCTGTGGCTAAAAGGGACTCCCACTCGAGCCTGTTGCTCCTCTTGCCAAAGGGCCACTCCTGGCAGCATCTGGGGGCCCTTGGGTGGCCTGGCTCAGAGCCCTTCTGCACACTATCTGGGATCCGACTCTGATGAATATGCGGACAGCAGCAGAAGCCTGGGGGGATCTGACTCACTGTCTTTGAAGCTGAGGTTTTTGAGCCACCTCAGTCACCTGCAGCCCCAGGACAACTCCTATCTCCAATTGTATCTCTGTTTCTGAGTGACAAATGTCTGCCTAGTACACATCAGCTGGATCTGATGTGCTGTGGGAACTTGGGGGATTCCTAATTTAATCAGGCAGCCCTCCATCCTCATTTCATAATGCACTAACCCACTCCCCTGTGCCACCCTGGGCAGGCCCCCAGTGTGCAAGCTCAGTGTTCATGGTGTTGGGGAACAGTGTTTTCTGGTGTTCTTAAAAACATGTAGCATATTTGAGGGAACCAGTGAGTCCTCTCCCTTGTCCAACTCTCTCTTGGAATCATTTGTGCTGTGAATAGTAGGCTCCTATGGTCTATTCCCATTTTTTTCCTAGACCTGAGGTTCCAGTATTTGGTGATTGGAGCCTCCGGGAGGGAGAATCCTGGTGCTCAAATTTCCCTCCACAAGCACGTAGCCAAAGTCATTGCCAAACCACTCCTCCCAAGCCAGTGGGTCCTTTATTTATGACAACTTTATTTATTCTAATAAGATTTTATAGTTATTTATATATAATGAGTCATCTGCTTCCCTTGTATTTTCCTTTTTTTTGTAGTATTGGAAACATTGGTATAATTATTGTAAGTATGCTATAATAATACATTAAGTAATATATATTGGGCTGGGGATGTGGCTCAAGCGGTAGTGTGCTCGCCTGGCATGCCTCGGTCCAGGTTCGATCCTCAGCACCACATACAAACAAAGATGTTGTGTCTGCCGATAACTAAAAAATAAATATTAAAAAAATTTTTTAAAAAGTAATATATATCATCTTAAAAGTCTATTTTTGTAGGGTTTTTTTTCCAAAATGTTTAAATAAAAGTAATCTCTGTGAAAAAAAAAATTAAGATACAATTTCAAAAATCATTTATGTCTCTATAGACCCGGACCTGCCAAACTATCCATGGAGGTTCCTTGCCAAACATTTATGTGTGGGACACTTAAATATAAGATTTGTATTTCCAAAGCCTCTCTGTGCCTCTCTGACCCCAAGATGTGTTTTGTGTATATCTTAGCCATGTTACTGTATGCAAATTTACTTCCCCAAACTTCTTTCTTCATCTGTAAAATGGGAATTATAATTACTTTATTTGAAAGTTATGGGAACTCCTTGAGACGGTATTTATACAAGGGCACATTGGTCTATTATAGGGCCTAGCAGCAGCAAAAGCCTTAAGATGTATCTCCAACACTGCTTTTTCTCTTCTTCCTCTACCAGGGTTATCACTCCTCACAATGCTCTGAGGGACACATTAGGCATAAAGTCAAAGCAGGAGAGAATAGGATGGTATATTCCAGAGACCCATGTTTCTTCATTAAAAAAACACTCATTTGAAATTCTATCAGAAAGTTACATGCCTAAAAAATTCATTACCTTGTTCTAATTATACAAGAGCCTTACAACTAAAATATTCTCCTAATCATCTAAGAGACCACCACTTAACAGTATATTAGATGCAAAAATTTCAGATTTTTCCCAAGGGTATAAAGTTTAAACATTCAAATTTGCAAAAGGGAAGTGAATTGGAATGAAGACATTCACAGCAAGCTCTTTCATATCCATTAGTTATCATTTACACATCAAATACATACAGCATTAAGACCAAATATACAGAATTTCCACATTTATATACAGTAATCAACATAGTGCACAATTCAAATCTATCTTACAATCAAGTGTACAAGTTTAAATATGGCTTTATAAACTACTAACAATAACTGTGCTAAAGTAACTCATAGGTCCAGAAATAAAAACTGGAATGCCACCTCCACATTGGGCCCTTGATCAGCAAGATGCTATTCATTGTGTTTGCAAAACAGAAAGTACAGGTAAATGTCTCAGGCAGTGTCCAACGTCAGCCCCCAAGCAGCTGAAACATGGTTCAAATCATGCCAGCATTGGCCCTTGCTACCTCAGATAAGAGAAAATAAATCTGTACATATTCACACATTTGGATACATGACGTTATAAACAAATAGAAGATAAACATATGATTAGTGAGATGATGATTACTGTGTATTATCAAAATGTGTTTTCTGATTGGTGTTGAAATCTGGCAATACATCTTGCATTTGTATTATTTGGGTCCCTCCCTCTTTCTTTTCTTCTTTTTCTTAAATCAGTGTATTTTATTGCAAAATCTTTCAGGAATGTTCAAGGTATCCTAGATCAAGCGGTCTCAAAAATAGAATGAAAAAGAGCTTTCATAAAAGTGGCATATAATTATTCACTCTTCCCTTCCCCTAACCACAAATGCCTACTTTGAAATTTTAAAAAATGCCAACTTTAAATAAAAATAAATAAATACCTTGACCTAAAATCATGCATCCATGCCTATTTTATATGTATTTGGCCACACGTTACAGACACATTCTTTAATCAATTATGCCTTTCTGGGTGCTACTTGTAAGTATCACTTGCCCCATTCCTCAGAAACTCTAGTGATTACTGGAGAATAAGCTTTTTAAATTTCTATGCCTGTTATGATTCTTAACGTACATTATACATCAGTAGAGCAATATATACATATACAGTAATGTATACATATATGTATACCATGAATAATATTCTGAGGGGCGTGCACAGAAAGTTTTGCTGATGAGATGAATAAAAACAAAGGTTTGGAGATCCGCACCTAAATAGGGATGATTTAGGGCGTCTTCAAACATTAAAAAAAAAAAAAGTCTTCTCTAAAATAAAATGCACTTTTGAGAGACTAGAAGGAACTTCCAAAATTAAAGGAAAGATATCGGGGCCAGCCCCTCTGACTTACCCTCCAAGTTCTCTAGCCTGGAGCAATCCAGGGGCACAGATTGGCAGTTAAGATAAAGGTAAATGTTACTTCAGTGTCTCCTACACTGGCCACTTGTATATCCATGACAATCCTTCCCTGCATAGATTGCATTTGGTTTTGATTTGTAAACATGTACTTTTTATTTTTAGTAAGATGTAAACACCTAGAAAACTTTCCAGGTGCCTGACACATCTCCACAGCAACCATATCACCTGGTTGCTTGAAGCTCTGGAAATTGGTACTGTTTCCTTCTCTCTTCCTGCTCAGTGAAATTCTAATACCCTCAAAAAAAGGACTCAGTACCTCACTTTCCCAAACATCACCCTGGAGAAACCCTCACTCACATCAGTGTTTAGTTGTCAGACATTCAATATCATGCAGATAACTGGGGGAAAAATTCATATGCTTATAACAAGCGTGATCTGATCCATGATGCTTATTACTATGGGAGGTAAAAATCATTTTGACAGGAGTAACACAAACACCCCTACTGAAGCAGAGGTCCATCCAATATTCGAACATTGTCTTTATCTTACTGCTGTAAAAAAGAAAAACATCACATATAATTAGTTAAACATAAAAAAGTAACCATTAGACATGGTTAATAAACTGTGATCTCTTACTGAGGGGGGTGAAAGGAGTGGAAGGCAATATGAAAGAACACTTCAATTCTGAACTATTAAAGGGGGAAGTCCATAGATTGCTGTTTGAAAGGGGGAGATGATAGTAAATGTCCGAAGCATTCCTCTCTTCAAGTCCTTCAATGAAAAATTATATTATTCTCTCTGGTCAGCCACCACTAATTAACACAGCAATTCAAAAGCTGGATCTTATTTTTTTAAAGTGATGGGGAATTTTTTTTGAGAAAAATTACTAAAGAAACTATTTAAATATTATTGATAAATGAAAAATTATTCTAGTGCTACAGAATAAAAACAAACAAATAAATAAAAATAAATACTTGCTGGTGAAGGGTGGAAGGTAAACTAATCTTTTAGTGACACTACTTTCTATAAAATTAATTGATTTTGATAAATATACATATTGCTCTATGTGTAGTGGATAGTTTCAAAACATTTAAAGCTGTAATGAGAGACAAAAGGAATTTTCTTTAAAAATAATGCAAGACGGCTACCAAGTTCATTTTTGAAATTATTTAATTATATACAAAACTTCAGGGTACTATACTAACCTTTCACTCGAGGTAACTTGTTTTCCCACTGAAATGATTCAGGATTTCCATTAGTTATTAGTTTTATTATTCTAATGGCTCCCTTTATTTACCCACAAATTAGACACTTGGAGACTATAATCCTCACGAAAACCAAGCTTCCTAGTTTGTCATGGTCTAGCCAACAGAATGAGTTTTGGAGAGCTAACATTTGGGGACAAGTTTCCTGCTTTGGCAAGAGCCAGAATGATCAAGGAAGTCACAATGTCATCCATGCTATTTGTCAGTACCCTGTATAACCATCTCCAATGGGCAAGGCCAATAAATTGCTCTTTCTAGCAAATCTTATCTTAAATATTTAGGAAACTTAAATATTTTAATATATACTTGAAAGTCAGGGACTAAAAAAACAAAGTTTCTGCTAAGGAATTCAAAAGAGGCAAACATCCCACAGATGTTTGCATTTATCTATGACAGTGGCAAGAATCCTACAGGTAAGGGGCACCTCCCTCTGCACCCACCAAGAAGATACTTTTGAACTGTGAACGTTTCATTCAGAGCACCAGAGCAATTGGTGTCCAGCAGTTTACAATCACAAGCAATCGTTCCCTGGACCTGCTCAAGATGGGCTGGCAGAGCTCAGCATTTAGACTGGGAAAGATGTATCATTGGATAAACTTTCACCAGTACTTGCTCATCTTAAACAATAATACACATAAAGAACAAAGGACCCTGGGTCATAATCAAGAATTGAAATGAAAATAATTTCACTCTGTTAAAAAAGAAAAGGATAACCTCAGTCATTCCCTATTAACAAAAAAGACTCTATTCTTTGAATGATAATACATTCCACAATTTTTCCATACAAAAATGAATGAATACAGGAAAAGTGATTATGTGGATCTTCTTCCTAGGAAAAATCTTCCTGGGAAAAATCTTTCCCATAAAGCCCCTTACCAAGTGGTCTACTCATGCAGAAGTGGTGGGTTTCAGGGCTGAAATGAAATTCAATTGGTCTGGAACTCACTTTGACGAATCAACTTTTTGGATGGTTAAAGGATAAACAATGCTGACAACAAGCAGAACCCTATCACTTTCAAAACTCCAAACCTGTCAAACAAAGATAATTTCTCAGATAATGTAAAGCTGCTTTTCTTTCTTCTTTCTCTGTCACTCAACATACACTCAGCATGGATAATAGTGATTGCTTTTGTTTGTATATCTCATGTTAATTTTTATCCTCTCAGGATCTGTTAAAGAACAAACAACTATAATAACACTTACAGACTCTAGAAGACCTCTTCAACCATCAGGAATACCCTATGGAATTCATGAACAATTTCAAATCTCTAAACCTCCTAAATTTATATGTAAAATTTTAGGTATTTGTATATATGTACTTTTGGGGAATAGGGTCTAGGACTTTCATGAGATTATCAGTAGAAACTCCCTGACACACACAAAAATGAAAACACTACTTTATAGCCCATTTTCTGAACAACCTTTCCTATATGGCCTTCAGGGAAGGAAATGATAAGCACTTTGTTTTTAGAGGAAGAGGATATTATAATGAGGTGGGAATTCTTCATGCGGAACTGATGAATCTGGGCCTTAAGAGATGGGTATGACTGGGGCCAGTGAAGAGGAGGGTAGGGCATTTCAGGAGGGGGACTGGCATGAGCAGAGAAACAGAGGTAGGAGCACATGAGGCATGTTTAGGCAGCAGCAATCACGTTGACCTGCTGCGCTGGAGGGCTAACACAGAGGAGCCAAGGGAGATGAGTGAATAAGGAAATGAGGATGCCAAGCCCCATGGAGTAACCCTCATCCTGAGGCAAGGGGAGCATTCCATAGGGCCAGAGAGTTTTCTTGAAAGATTACTCCAGTGGTAATGGGTGGGATGGATCAGGAAAGTGGCCAAGTGTGTAAAAAAAAAAAAAAAAGTCAATTACAGAAATCTAAATCCAAGCAGAAGAGGATGCCCTGAAATCAGAAGGCTATGTCTGCAGTTACCCACTCTATAGTCAGTGAGTGTCCCAGAACCAGGGCACAGGTGGGTGCTTAGTAAAAATTATGTGAGTGAGCAAATGAGCACATATTATTTAAAAGATAAATAAGAGAGAAAGTAGAATCTTGGTGATTTGAAAACCCATCTTGCTACTATTCATGAAGCCTAGCAGTGCCAGGCACAGATACTAAGGAAAGGTCTGTTGAATTGTCCCGAAATAGGCTGACTAGATTTGGGGGATGACAGGGAAGGAGGATTCCAAGCACACTCTGAGAGAGGCTGGGGCTGTGCTGGTTCTGTAAACATGGACTCATTTCTCAGGAACATGGGTTTATAAGGAAACCAAGCCAAGGTGGTGTAATGAAAAGAATCCTCCAGGACAAGGCAAAAGACCCCAGTCCTGGGTCCCGCCATTCAAATGTATATGTATGTGACAATAGCCAATAACAGCCTCAGTGGATCTCTTGCAGGTGGTTTTCTAGAGCTAATTCTTGGATCAGCTATGCATTTTTAAGATTCTACACTTTCTCCTAAACAAATCTAGGCAAGATCCATGAGGTTAAAATCATTAGCACTTCCTTTCCTTGAATCCTATCCATTTCACAAAAGCATATACTATTACCTCTGTATATGGGGGTAGGTTATGTGTAAAAATTAGACTACAGTTGTGATTCGAGTCCAAATTGTTCTAAGTCTGTAATAAGTTTTCTGATAGTCCCATGGCCTCAGTAATGTCATTATTGGCAATTACATAACAACAAAATGTTAAAGTCTGACAATATAAAGTATATCTCTGCAGGAATTGATACTGTCCTTGTATCTATTGTAATAGACAGCAAAGCATACAATTTCTGCTCATTAATCCTGATGAGTGGAGATGGGAGGTAGATAAAGGGGAAAACTATTTTTACAACAAAAGTTAAAAAACAACAGGTGGCCCCTGATTTCCGTCTTCTGTCCAATCAATTAGCATCTATTAACATTAAAGACCATGCTTCCTTAAGTTACTTTCCAGCAAAAAAAAAAAAAAAAAAAAAAAAAACAGAAATTGAATAAGTGAGCTAGATGACCAAAATGTTCCTTAATTTCTTGCCGCTGCTGTTGTTTTTCTTAGAAGTAGCACCTGTTCGTCAAATTGGAGAACACTTCAAATCCAGGTAGCTCAAGAATAAAGCACATAAAAATTAAAGCCCTCTCACACTACAGTGATTTTTGTTTTGGTCATTTGGATTTCATAATCCATAAAGTAAAACTGGGGTATATTCCAGGGTTCCATACAAAACGATGAATACCAGGTCCTGAGCCTCAGGTGGCAATGTCCATTCATGCCTCTGTGGGAGGTACCTGGATGAAATGAATATAGTTCTAACCTCACTTTGAACACTGGCTTTCCACATACTTGCTCCAAGTAATACACAGTAAAAGCCATGTGAATCTACACACTCATACTTAATCATCCTTATAGCAAAATGCATCACATTGGTGCTATACAGTAATAATAAATTGTAGGCAAAATTTCAAACTTTCTTTTCAGCTAAGGGTGGGGAAAGGGCAACTCAATCTTTGTGGAGACAGGTCTACAGTCCACTTGCTCATTATAATCACATTTCTGGGCCAGGAGTTTCCCTCGGTACACAGAGCTGCTACCAGCTGGCCTTAGAACACACTTGCTGAAGAGAGAGGAGACAAGTGGGCTGGAGACTTAAAACAGGCTTATTCATGTATATCTTCTCCACCACATTCTCATTAAACATCAGACAGACCTTTCCAAGAGTAGTGGTTTTAATAAAATATTCACAGCTACACTTTCTGTGGAATAAGAATTTCTAAATGAGGGTATCTCAGCATTTATTCCCAGTTACAAATGCCCTGCAGTTGCTTAATTGGTAAACAGCCTCATAATCTCTCCCCCTTTACCTCTCTGAGAATCCACAGCAGTCTTTTAAGATTGCTGCCTATGATCTTCACTCAGAGTTTCTTTTTCAAGCAAACTTCATGAATTTTCCAGAAACTTCTTTTAAGAAGTGCCTCTTTAAAAGCATTCCTTGCCCCAGTCAGTTAGAAGCAAAGTAGCTTTGTTTGCAGGTACACTGACTCTTCTATCCCAAATCCACTGCCATCACATAGGACCCTTACCCCTATTTCCCCTGAAATCCTATGTCAAGAAGAACCAGGTCTTCAGAGGGAGTGCCTTCACAAATATGGGTAACTCCAACAGTTTATGTGCTCTGTGGAGAGGGAGGGAGGATGTGAAGGGATGGGAAGTCCGGAAGAAACACTAAGATCTGTCCTCAGCGTTGCCCCGCTACACCGGGAATGGCTGGAAACACCAGAAAAGCTGCACAAATGAAACTGCATATGATCTATCACTGCAGAGTGCTTTGATACAAGGAACATGATCCTCTTCCTACTTCACCTTTGCAAGGTTTGTTTTCATAGGACATTACAAGTTGGCAAGCTTCTGCCTACAAAAGTCAATCAAATACTTTCCCCTGCGTCTCTGTTAAACCCACCATATTCCTGAAATTTATTCTCTCTCAATTAATCCAACATGGCAACTTAACACTCTGGAGGCAACAAAGAACATTCCAGTGTGAGTTCAGACAATGAAAACAACACTTTTCCGAAAATACACAGTAGAACTGAAAACCATTTGTAGCTAATGATGACTGATAAAAATATTTCCAACATTCTTTTAATAAAAGATTTTGACTCAAGAAAGATCACAAAGAGGAATGATGACTAAGTCCTAACTGTGGCTTTGCTTGTGTTTCAACTGCTCAGCTTTTATAAGTGACTGTGGTGGTTGCTCTCTGGATATGGAATTTATTGGCCCTCAGATCTTCACACATATGAAGCACAATAAAAAATTAAATGATGTGTTCATGCCACACCACTTCCAAGAAGTTTAAAAGCACTGCACGAATGTTACCAAATGAATCCCCACAACACCCCTGTGAGGTAGGTAGGTGGAGAGTATCGTCAGCCCCACTTTACAGGTGGGAGAAATGAGGCACACAATAGTTAAGGTTCTTGCCCAAAATCACACAGTTAGCCACTGGCAGAGCTTAGAATAAAACTTACATGGATTAGCACCTAGCACAGTGCTTTGCACATAGTAGGTGTTCATTGCATATCTGTGGATTTTGACCCACATCTCAACATACAATATACATACATGAAGTACAAGCAGCCACCAAGAAACATTCATCTCCTCGATTTGTTTTTTCTGATGGTATCTCCCATTACTTCAAACCCTGGTGGATGAAGGATGTTCAAGAATCCATCTCACAACTAAGACTCAGCTGCCGAGGATCAGTACAAACACTATCAGCTGATGGCCCGCTCACTCACCTGCTCTACCACGCAATATTAGTTTTCTAATGAAAACAAAAATGGATTTCAGGAACCATGCTGATTTTTTTTTTTTTTTTGCCTGTTTGTTTTCAATGGAGCCATCTGAATGGTTCTGTGTTTCATTTTTACAAAAAAGAAATAAGGCGGCTACAGTCCAGTTAGTGTGTGAAAACTGGGCCAAGCAGGAAGAGTCTTCTCCCAGCTCAGATGGATTTCTACCTGGGAGATCGATCGACCCCCAGAGAGTGGCAGATCCAAAGGAAATGGATCAACAAAGGCCTGATGTCACTGGCAGGGATGTCACTTGCACTGTTCGTGGTCTGTGTAGTCGTCCATGTCCACGTCAGAATCAAAGAGCGAGTGTCCAGTGAAATCCGTGTCTGGGGTTCTGGAGAAACTGTTCTCCGCGCCCTCATCTTCAAAGGTCTCTGTCCTTGAGTAAAAGCTGAAATCCAGCAGGGGAGTGTGCGTTTTGCTGCCTTCACTGCTCTCCTCCGACTCATAGATGGTGTTGTCGTCATCGTGGTGCCACTCGGGCCAGAATTTCCTCCTTATCCTCTCGCAGTACATGGCAAGGTTGATCAGCTCCCCTGCAGTGTGGTAGGAAAAACAGGGTTATTCACTCTCAAAGGCATCAAGCTCACAGTACTTGTAGGAATGTCTGTGTCCTCCCCAAACCCAAATGCTGAAATCCTAACCCCCACCAGATGCTGGCCCTGGCTTTGGTTTGTCTCATAAAAGGGGCACAGGAAAGCTGCCTCAGCCCTCCACCATGTGAGGACACAGAGGGAAGGTGTTCACTGTTGGTGATCCAGGAAGCAGGTCCTCACCAAGGCACCCTACCGGCTCAAGCCATCACCCTGGACTTCCCAGCCTCAAGGACTGTGAGTAATTAATACATTTCTGTTGCTTACAAGCCACCTAATTTATGGTATCTGAAGACATCCAGCCACCAAGCTTCCTGGGGAGTGTGGAAGAACGAGGTGAGTAGATATTCACAGAGCTTTTCCACAGAAATACTGTCAAAATATTTAGATTTTTATGAACATAATAAGAAAAGTTAAACTCAGTAAATGGGATAAATGAAGCAAAGGACTGGGTCCTGTGGTACAGAGAAGAAGAGGAATTGTTCATCCAAAATGGCAGAAAAATTGCCATCTTTTCTCTGGGAAGCATTTTATTGTTTTGTTGACACACCAATAGTTAATGTGCTGATTGGTTCATATTTAAATTAATTTATATTGTATGAAAATACACCAACTGTGGGTTGCATTATATCGGCCAGAAGTCATCATTCATTCCACAAATCTTTGTAGTGTTATAGGTCGGGTACCATGCCAAGTTGCTGAAAAAATTATGTTAGAATAAAAACTTTGCCCTAAATAATTCATAAAATAGATTAACTCAGAATTTTCTGTATGGATCAGTGTACCTAAAAACACATTTAGTAAAAACACATTTCTTAATCTTCCAAATAAAATTTAAAAATTTTTGGGTTCCCAGTAAATCACTGGACCACTCTTTCATATGAATCAAAGAGACATTTACGAAGTCACTAACATATCGGTATTTGTCTAAAACATGACACAGTACTGGAGTTCCATTTCCTAATTCCAAATGAAGAAAAAGTGAGTTTTTGCCTTTGATCCACCAGATGGCAACATTGCCTTTAAAAACACAATTTATCAGTATTTCTCATAGGACATTATGATCCTTAGAATATTGTTTGGATCTTTTGAACTATATACACATTCAATTATTATGTAGGTAATCCATATTTTATTACAAAAAATACAGATAAGCAAAAAATTAAAAAATTACCAATAATCCTCTTCTCCATAATAACTTTTTCACTGATATTCTTCCAGAAATTTGTTTCTATATATATTTACATTAGCTATATAGAATTGACTATATAGTATGTTTTCTGTCCACCTTTTTCCACTTATCAGCATATGGTGAAAATTTTTTAATTTTACATTATGACTACTATGATAATTTTGTAGTATTTCATTATGTACATGAACTATATCACAGTTTCATTTTGCTTTAACCAAACCCCTATCACAAGTTACTTGAGTTGTTTTTGTACTAATAGCTCTATTGATTGTAGCCTGTAACCACTCTATTTTCATTTTCTATTAAAGAAAATATATATTCTCATTTTGAAAAAACTAAAAGTCTATATACATAAACTCTATGAATACATAAAGAAGAAAACAAAAAATCCCTAGGATCTCATCAACCCAAAATAATCACAATTAGTATTTTGATATAATTTTTTTCAATACAATTTCTACTTACTTACTGCCATTATTATTTCTTATGATCTCCTATAACATTATTATAGACATTTTTCCATGTCACTGAAATTTTTCAAAGCTTGATGGCTGTTTGGCTGAACTAAACAAATGTCCTACAAACATGACAAAGCAAATTCTCCTGCTTCTTGGAATCTGTAAACCAATTAACTTGTACTGGTTCCAAGTCATCATTTTCAGTCTTAGATCATAATAGTGCAATCCCTACTGTGTAGGAGTCCATTCTCATTACCTTCTGCTAGAAGATATGGATGTACATGCTCAGAGCCAGAAGCTAAGAAACAACATCACTGCTTCTCTTGAGGAGATGCATGTAAAACCTTCCAGTATTTTCCCAAGAGAACTTCCAATCATGCAACTCCTCCCCAGGTATTGCTACTAATCACAGATAATCAAGAATTGGGAAAAAGATGTGGAGGAAACAGTAAGAGGGAGAAAGAGAATCTAATGAGAAAGGTACAGAGCCATTGAAAACTAGATGTGTGGTGCACATGTGTAATCCCAGGAACTCTGGAGGCTGAGACAGGAGGATCGCAAGTTTGACACCAGCTTCAGCAACTTAGAGAGGCCCTCAACAATTTAGGGAAACTCTGTCTCAAAATAATAAATAAAGAGGGTTGGGCATGTAACTCAGTGGTAAAGTGTCCCTGAGTTCAATTTCCAGTACCACCACCACCCCCCCAAAAAAAACAGCCATCAAAGATGAATTATGGACATATCTCAGTAGGTTCAGAGAACAGCCCTGTTTGACTCAATCAAATCCATTCACCATGAGCTGCTCCCAAGGAGCAACTAGGAAAGCCAGAACTATTCACAGGACCCTATAACTTTATCCACTTCTTTTGTGGGTGTTTTTATTTTTTATTTTTTTTAGCCTTATTTCTTCACCTTTCCTCCAAAAGAGGTTCCTCCTTTGTGATTGTACGACATCAATACTGCTTCAGTGTGACAGAATAAAAAGTAACAATCATATTAGCAAAATGTACTCCTTTCTGCATGCTAGGCACTATTTGCAGTGCTTTACTCATCGGTTATACTAATTCCCTCCTGTCCTTCCCCATGACACTACTCTGTCTCTTTGAGTGGACAGCCTGGCCTTGGAATTAATAGCTTTGTGCTACTATGTTAGAATATTTCTCTGCAGTTCTTTCCTGGGTTCTCAAGAATTATGAGATGACAGGTACCACCCTTTAGTGGCAATGAGCTGTCATGAAATAAGTAAGAACTCTATCACATGGCTGAGAAAGGTCAGCCTTGATGAGCAAGAGCTGAGATCCACACACCCCTCCTCATATCCTGCCCTTGAATAAAGAGTAAAATATATAGGGAAGCTCTAGATTGGCTTTGCTCAATTCTTCTTCCGCCTAGATTCCCCATTAGCTATCATCCAAAAGAACAAAAAAGGCTGGCAGTAGAAAGCACTTCTGTGGCATGTGTGTGTGTGCACATGTACGAATGCAAATATGATATGCCTGGGTTAATGTAAATCCCTATACTGAATATGTACACTTTGTGAAATAAAAGAAAAACCACATTTCTTCAAAGAGTAGTCAACAATCCGATAACAACTTCATCCTCCAGAATGGTAAAAACTAAAGTCACCCAATGCTGAGGAGGCTGTGGAAGTCAAGCATTGTGTTACATGGCTGGGGTAAGAACAAATTGTTGTAACCTTTTTTTGGAAAGTAATCTGATGCTCCCCACTAAAATTTAAAATGTGTATACCTGATGGCCCAGAGTTCCACATTGAGTACTTTATCGGCTAAAAGAAAAGCATCAGTATATGAAGATCTATGTGCATGGATGTAGCATTACATGTTAGGAAAAGACAGAGGAAGGTGAGGAAGAAAAAGACAAACAAGAGGGGGAGGAGGAGGAAGAGAAGAAAGAGGAAAGGAAAAAGATGGAAACAGTCTTGAGGTCCATCAGTAGGGACTGAATTAACCATTCTGTAGAATATTGTGCAGTTGTTTAAAAAGACATGATATTATTAAGTGGGAAAATTCAAGTTAGAAGAGTAATATGTGTAGTTTTATTCTATTATTTGTTTTAAAAACAGTAAAAACAACAAACCACAATAGCTACACATGTGTTGTAAATTTGTGCATGTAAAAGAAAGGCACAAGAATGATCCACATTAAATCCCCAATACTAATTATTCCATGGGGTCTGTACTGGACATGAATGAAGGGGAAGACATGCACTTTTTAACCTATTCCCGTGTGATTTGGCTTGTGACCATTGTATATTACTTTTTAAATTTGAAAAGCCAATAAAATAAATTACTAAAAAAACACACAGTGATATTATCAGACAAAGAGGATATTTATCAGAATGCTGAATGCTTCTCTACCCAGAGGACAGTCCTAGACAGAATAAGGAGCCTTTCTCTTGGAGTTTCTCACAAGGAAATTTCTCCATTGCTCTTTGAAAAACATACAAGCATTATTTTCTGCATCAATCTAATTTCTCTAATAATCAAAAACATTCTGTACAATTTAACACTGTAAACCATGTCAGCCAGATTCAGAATCCTGGACTAAGTTTCTCCCAGCTGCCTCTCATGTATGGCTAGAATGAGAGAGAGGGAGACGCCTGCCAGAGCCCCCAGCACCACCTGCCCTCGCTGGGTCATTAACCAGCAAATATTTGGAAAACACGGGGCCAATACCCAAATGCACTCATGTACTCTGCAGGCATGTGCTCAGCACCTCCTTGTCCCACACCTGTGCTAGGTGCTGGCAACAGCCTTGATTGCTCTCTTTAGCATTTGTCACACAGTAAGAAGCCACCAAGCGTGCCTTCTTCTGAAAAGTGCTAACATGGCTTGAATGCTGTGGATGAGGACACTCCCTCTGCCTCATCTCCTTGAAGCTAAAGACTGAGAGCAAGGACACTAAATCACAGATATCAAAACACACAACCCACAAATACCATTTGATTCAGCCCTTTCCTAACAGCCAAATCCCCCACCACAACCTCTTCCACAGTCATATGACATTCTCCCCACTTTCTAATCCTTTAAGCCAAAAAGACACCCAAGGACAATTAATAATCATGGGTGAAAGTTGCTGAATGAAGTTTTTCTTAGAATATGGAAGGTCGTGTTCCTTACCAATTTAGAAAATAGTGTTAAAGTCTGTGGTTTCCTTATGGCTCTAGAGGGCGGGCAGTTGTAACATAGGTCTTCCCTTCTCCTTGCTTCAATTTCATTTTTTGAGGCTTTCTTAAATTCCCTACATCTATTTTGTTTATTTCATTTTATTTATTTATTTTTGGTACCAGGATTGAACCCAGAAGCACTCACACTGAGCCACATCCCCAACCCTTTTTATTTTGTGACAGGGTCAGGCTAAGTTGCTGAGGGCCTAACTAAGTTGCTGAAGCTGGCTTTGAACTTGCAATCCTCTTGCCTCAGCCTCCTGAGCCACTGGGATTACAGGCATGCACCACTGCTCCCAGTCCCACATCAAATTAACTGTTAAATTAACACATAATTCTCTAACGAGGACACCCCAATTAAAACAAGGATTCTGATTCCACATTGAGAGTGTTGCTGAAATAAAACAGATTCTTTTCTTACTGTAAAGATGGCAAAAAACTTCTAAAAAAATTATATTTAGCCCTAATAAGGGAAATAAAATTAGAGATGCTTTTCGGACATTGCTCTTGGAAATGTAAACTTCTATGGCCTTTCTAAAAAGCAGCTGAGACATGCAGACCAAGAGCTTCTACCCTTTGTGATACTAATTCCCTATCTAGAATTCAGTGCAGGAAATAACCAGAGACAAACAGGAGTATATGTTTACAACAATATTCACTACCGAATAACAGTAAAAATTATTTGAAATAATACACAAGTCCAAAAGAAGATTAATCACATGTAGTACAATGTAGCTATAGGATAGGATATTATGGAATGACTACAAAAGCATGTTTGAAGAATATTTAATGGCAAGGTGGAAAGCTATAATACTTGGTTTATTTTAAACATCAGGTTATAATTGGATCAATATTATGGTCCCAATTTTTTAAAATATATACATGCTTGTACTTGATGAAGATACATACCACAATATTAACAGAAGATCTCTGTGGATGATTAACTCACAAGTTACTTTTCATTCTTTGAAAACTTTTCTATCTTTTCTAAATTCTATCCAATAAACAAGTGATATTTCATATTTATATCTAAATATATAGATGCATACATATACGTATATTTTAAGCATGGTTGAATATTCAAAATCTGCCCTCCTACACACCTAAATTAAGGAAAATTTCTTACTATTCTACATGATTCCAGAAGTAGTTTGTGTGGTTTTGTCAACAATTAGGACCAGGGCTGGGGATGTGGCTTAGTCGAAGAGTCTCTTGCCTGAAGAGTCATTAGGCCCTGAGTTTGATCCCCCGCACTGCCAAAAATAATAATAATAATAATTGCTGGGACTAAAAATTTATATTCAGTCACAGCCCTCCTCATGTGGCAAGGCCAGCAGAGCCATGGCTGTTCCAAAGCCAAGGCCCAATCCCATCCACTCACACTCTGGATTTGAGCCAGTTCTTAATTATCTAGGCTCTTAGTTGTTTTCACTTATGCCCTCTCTCTTTACTTCTTGGGAAAGTCTCTACCACAGAGAGCAAAAGCAAGGAAAGAAGTTAAGTCCATTTGGTGCACAAAGGACATGGAACTACTGCCAAAGTAAGAATCAAAGACACTCTGGACTTTACTGATTAATGCTGCAAAAGTCCCCAGGGACAGCTGGAAGTCCCTGGCACTGCTTTAAGAATTAACATTCCTGCAACTGGGTGCTAAAAGTCCCTGGAAGATAATGGTGTCAGATTCCCCAGACGTGTGTGTCTCAGGGAGGGACCCAAAATCAATCCTCAAAAATGGCTGATCATTTATTTCCTTTAAGAGAATGTCTCAAGTTCTTTTAAGTCAAGAAAACATACTTTGTTTTTAAAAGAAGGGATCCTCTGAAGTCACAGTCCTACTGATAAGGATCCCCCAAATAATTCTAACTAAATAACAGATTACCTCAGTGTGTGTGTGTGTGTGTGTGTGTGTGTGTGAGAGAGAGAGAGAGAGAGAGAGAGAGAGAGAGAGAGATTATGGGAATGTGTCTGGGTAGAAATGTAGGTATATGTGTACAGGTGTGTGGAGTTTGTGCATACAGGAGTATGTGAGTAAACAAGGTACATCTTTATCACAATGATTTAGCTGGAAGTCCCTGGGACTGAAATTAAATGTCAGTCCAGCCAAGTGTGGTTGGTCATGCGTGTAATTTTAGCCACTCAGGCAGCTGAGGCAGGAGAATTCCAAGTTCAAGGCCAGCCTCAGCAATTTAGCAAGACCCTATCTCAAAAAAATGGCTGGGGATATAGCTGTGTTATAATGACCCTGGGTTCAACCTCCAGTACCAAAAATAAATGTCAGCCCCACTCAGCTAACCTTCTGGAAGATCTTCAATAAGTACCTGAACCATTTCAGCCAAATCTGGTAATGTATCTGGAAGTCCACCCACAAATGAAGTCCACCCACTGGTCTCATCTACACCCCCAGCCTGCTCAGTTGAGCACAAACTCTTCAGTTAAATCTTGTCAATCCCCATCCCAAACTTAAATATTGAATTATGACCTCCACATCCCCAGCCCCCAGGTACTTGCTTAGATACTACTTTAAAATAAAGATGACTTCAAACAGTTCCCACCCACCTACACAGTAAAAGCCTCTCTGAGAGACACAGCTGTCATGTATTATTCCATCACTCTACCCTACTACATACACACATACACACACATGCAAACCAATATCTGATCCCTTGACATCAACCCAAGGTAAGCAGACTTACCCTCCCCCTTTGCTACCATGAATTTTATTCCTGGCTACCAACCCCACCCGGCCTTGTATTTATCATCACCCAGCTCTGGTCCCATTCATTTCCACTTCTTACCTTGTCCTTGATAGTCAAGAACTATAATTCTGAGAGAAGTACAGGGGACTGATATTGGCCAAATTATATCATTATATTGTGTGCATGTACAAAAATATAACAACAAATCTCATCATTATGTACAACTATAATGAACCAATAAAAAATGTGGAAGGAAAAAAAACTATAATTCTGACTAGACTTACAGCCAAGACCAGAAAAAATGGATAGCAAGATTGTGTTTCTTGGCACACATAATAGGATTAGTAATAATACTTGTATAGCATCAGACTTCGCCGTTTATTGACAATTTCCTCATTTTCCCACAGTCTTGAACTTTCCATTCTTCTACTCTCAGTACATGATCTACAGTCACTACACTAGAGTGGAAGGCAGCTCAAATGACACAAATCATATATACTTTACCTACATTTGAATAAGACATCAATTAATATTCAAAAAGAGCATCTGAGATTGGCAATGAGTTCATTGACCCCACCTGATCCTAGTTGCTGCAGTATTGGATACATCAGAAAGTGGTGAGCCAACTGCCCAAAAGACTTCAAGGAATAACAACAAAACAAGGACAGAAGGTGGAATTCAACTCCTGTTTTAGCAACAAGTATTCAGTTTCACCTGTAAGGAGCTGGCAGAAAACTTACTGGCCCTAGACACCACAGCCTAATGAAGCATGACCAGGTTCACGACTCTGGCCTAGAATTCTACATTCTACATACCAGTACCCACCCACCCGCAGCAACTCTTACACCAGAAAAGCTTTTCAGGGCTTGCCTTTGATCAGCCGCTCAGGTCTTGTCCCTGGTAAGGTCCACATTGCCTGTGCCAAGTGTCCAAAGACAGTGGCATCGAGAGTGGAAAGCTTGGGCCCCATGATGTACTTCTTATCACCTGCAGCAGATAAAACAGAGAGATCACTCACTGTCACAATAGCATTCAGCACACTCTCATTATATGTTTATCTAACTGCACCAAAAAGCTTTGCAGAGTCAAAATGCATGCATGCCCTTTTTCTTCAAAACATTGAGAACAAATGTAAAGTGAATTAAGAAATTCTGGGATACATCAAACCCACAGCAAGGTAAGGCAGGGAACAAATCCAATCCAGATAAACAGATGAGGGAGGGTGTTTATGGGGAAAAAAGAGAACTGATCACCAACTGACTTCCAGTCTCAAACTGGAGGTCTCAAACTGTCTCTCTTTGTTACTACAGTTTGAGACTGGAGAATACCCAGAAGTTTGATTAAACCAACTGAGAAGTAACCCAATGCAGCACTCAACCTCAGGGCATATATAATAATTAAAATAACAAATTTCCTCAAGGAAAACAAGAAGCCCAGGCTACTGAAGAAGCTTGAAGGCAAGGTTTCCCGTGACACCTCTAAGGTCTTGGCAAATTTCAACACTGAGTACCAGCTTCCTTGGGAAACATTAAGCAAAAAGAAGCTATGCAGTCAGAAGCTCAGCCCTGACATGAGGCTCCTAAACAAGAAAGTTTCACACTGCTGTTCCTGTCCCTCCATTTCCACCACTACTGACTTAGTTCAGGCCTTGTCACACAGAGGATCACATCCAACCAATTAAAAGAGTCGTACATTGTCTCCTGAGCTGCTGTCAGGGCCTGTGGCATCTAGTGGCACAAGAAGAGATGGATCCACAGACGTCACATCCTGGCACCACTGTTATTCATCTGGTCATTACCTAAATTCTCAAAGCCTCTGTTTTCTTACCCACCAAACGGGGATGATATTAAGAGTACCTAAATCCTTAGCACTACTGTGAGTATGAAATGACATACACATGTAACAATCTTAGCATGGAATGTGGATAACTCAAGCAACATGAGCTCTCCTGATGAGAGCCATTCCCTTCCTCCAGGACACTCCACAACCCACCTGAACTAAGACACTCTTTTCATTATGTCAGTCCCTCTCACGAACACCTTCCATGGTTTATGAAATAAAATCCAGACTTAACTTAAAAGACGAGGGCCATTATATTTACTTCTAACTCATGTTCCAGCTTTGTGCCCTACTCCTCTCCCCGACTCTAGCAAACCTGAACTCCAAAATGGGAGATTCACCAGTTGTGAGAGGAATAACTGAAGTATCCTGAGCAGAGCACACAGAAACCCTGCCTCTTCCTCTTGGGCCCCTTAAGTGACATTTTTTCCACATTGCACACTGTATACTGGTTGGGTTTTATTTGTGGGTTTTATCATTCCAGCTAAATGGTAAGCTCTTTGAAAGTAAGAGTCATTTCTTATTTCTACTTAACAAACTTTTGTGCCATGTTTTCTACACGTTTAGCACAATTCTATGTGCTGTACCCTACAACTGTCCACCCATTCCATCACATTTGAGTGGCAAGCTGAGGATGTCACAGATCTTATGTCAGTGTGTAGCTAAGACAGGAGTTCAATCAAGCCATCTGTTAGAGTAATTGTGTCCCATTGTTAACCAACTTCTCTATCATTTGAGTGTTGCCCCAGGATCTAAACCTATTACCCAAATACTGGGAAAACACTATCTGGGAAAAATTAATGACAAACAAAAAATCTCTAGGTATCACTTGTTCTCAAGATTGCCAGATATTTCTTGATGATTCATCTTGCTGACTCCAAACACCTCAACCACTCCTCTGCTGGCATTAAGTGATTACACGTGGGCAGAGGGACCCCCTCCCCAAGAGCTCTCAGAACATCCTGCTAGGATTGGAGAGGTGCATCAATCAGATGACCAAATGGCCCTCCCTACCAGACTGTGCCAGGGCTCTACCCATTCATGACCCAAACAAGACAGTCTATGAAGTGGAAGCCAAAAGGGCTTTAGGGCTATTGTGATAAGAGCTATACACAGCTTCAAAGAGAAGAAAATGAGTTTTTTTTTTTTATAAAAGAGCAATGGTGGATTCATGAACAAAAATTAATAAGAAGGAAGAAAGAAAATGTTGATTTCCTTCAAAAAGTACTCTAAGGGAAATGCCAGAGTTTAAATAGTGAAGTCTGATGTCGAAATCAAAGATTTGGGGGACAAAATGAAGATAGCCAGATGATAGATAAAATACTTGAAAAATCTGATAATAGAGTACATAGGATCTTGATAAAAAGAAAAAAATCATAAAAATATACTGTTATTTGACTCCATATATCAAATAATGCATACAGTGTTTAGTCATGATTTGCCATCTGGTCTCAGAATGTTAAAAGTGGAAGGACATTGAGTTAGTAACAGAACCAGACTCAGAATGCTGGCACCCAGGCCTCCAGACTTCTGGCCCAACGTCTTTGTCTCCACAATGTCACAATCATCATCATCTCAGAAATAAAGACTCCAAGGAACAGCAGTGTGTGTGTGTGGGGGGGGGTGGGGGGGTGGGGGGGGACTTTTAAAGTTTGCAAAAGGATGCTTTGGTTAAGAAGGAACATAAAATAGAAAAAGGAAAAAATAACTGAAACCTGATTTTTGTTTTTTAAAGGTGCTTATAAAAAGAATGGATGAAACTAGTATGTGAGGAAAATGCAGAATGGTAGATACAAAATTATATGTATATAAACACATGGTTATAAATTTTTAAAATATACAAATATCTCCTGTCATTAAAAAGTCCTCAGAGTATCCAATAACAGGAAGCTTTTTAAAACGTTTATTTTGAAATAATTTTGGATGTATAAAAAATTTGCAAAAATAGCATAGCTCCTGTATGTCCTTCACCCAACTTCCATAAATATTAATATCTTAGAGAACCACAGTACATTTATCAAAACTAAAAGAAATTAACCATTAGTATAACACTGCCAACTGTATTATAGACTTTATTCAAATTTAATTCATTTTTTTAACGAATACCCTTTTTGTTCCAGGATCCCACATTTCATTTGTCACCCTACCTCCTCAGTCTCCTCCAATTTGTGAAAGTTCCTCCATGCTCCTTGACTTTTCACAAATTTGACATTTTTAAAGAACACTGGACTGTTATTTTGTAAAATATCTATGAACTTGGGCTTCTCTAAGGTTGTCTTGTGACTAGATGAGGTCATGAATTCTTAGCAAGAATACCACACAAGTAACAATGTATCTCTTTTGATGGTTAATTTTATGTGCCATCTTGACTAGGCCATGGGGTATCCTGATATTTATTCAAACAATATTCTGGGTGTATCTATGATGGTATTTCAAGATGAGATTCGTCTTTGAATTCATAGAATGACTAAAGCAAATTTCCCTTCCTGATATGGGTGGGCCTCATCCAATCCATTGAAGGCTTCATAGAACAAAAAGGCTGAAAGCCTCCCCCCAACCAACCCCATAAGAGAGAACTCCTTCTGCCTGACTGCCTTCAAACTGGGACACTGGCTTTTTCCTATCCCTGTCTCAAGTAGAAGCATCAGCTCTTCCTGGGTCTCAAGACTGCCAGCCTTCAGACTGGACCCATACCATCAATTTTGGTCCTTGGATCTTTTCATCACATGAGAATTCTACCATAGAATGCCAACTCATCCTGCACATCTTGGGATCCATAACTCTGTGAGCCAATCCCTTATATTTAGTTTCTTTATACCCAATTGGTTCTGTTTCTCTGGAGAATCTTATGTAATACCTTCTGAGGGCATCATTGTATCAAAGGGCACATAACTATACATCTTAATATGTGGTATTAACCTTGATCACATGGTAAAGATGGTATCTGACAGGTTTCTTCCTAATAAAGTTACTATTTTTCCCTTTGCAGTTAATAATCTTCAGAGAGATACTTTGAGATTGTACAAATATCCTGTTTCTCTTGACTGTGACCCATCAATTTTAGCATCCATTGGTAGATGTCATCTGAAACAATTATTTTTATGGTGTATGTTTTATTGTGGTTTTCTCTTCCTCTCATTTCTTCTACACATATTTATTAGGATTCTACTGTCTCTATACCCCCACTTGCTAATGTATTCAATTATTTATTTAAGTATGCACTCATGAATATTTGTTTATTCTATGGGATGCAGTCCAGTACTATCAACATTTATTTCGTTGCTCAAACTGTTCCAGCTTTGGGCTGTGGAGCTTGGCAGGAAGCATTTTTAAAAGGTAAACTAAATTAGATTTAACTCTGTTTAGAGACAAAGAGGCCAAGCTAAAGGTCTCATTTCTACAACACTTCTGGGGTGCAGAAAGTGGTCCCAGATCCCATGACTAGAGGGGTTTAGAAAACACAAAACTCCAAAGGCAGATCTGAAGGGCACTAAAGGATCAGGCATGGGTGATGAGACACCTCGAACTTCAATATTCGCAGGTGAACCACCTGACTGCTCCTGTAGGGATACCTGAGCATCCGTAACTCTCCCTGTCAGTCCCTAGGTTGAGAGTGTGGACTCTGAGCCATTGGGGAGGGCAAATAAAGGTTGAAAACATGAAGTCAGTCCCCAGCAGTGAGGGACCCAGGGCACATCACAGTCCCTGAAATGTGCTCCAACAGAGGCCAGCGCTCCCAAGCACCAGGAACACCTCCCTAAAGGCACAGAGCCCACCTGCCTGTGAGGGTGACCCCCATATTCTGTCACCTGCAGTGGCAGTGGGACTTCCCATGCCCAGGGTGAGTTGAAAGACCTCCATGGTTGGGTCTCCCATTGGTCATCAGGGAGCACAGACCATGAGGACATACAAGAATAGAGACCACCATGCCAGAGAGGAAGACCCATGTGGATTTGAAGGAAGATCACGGCAGGAATGCCAAAGCTGGTTCTTCTGCGGGGTGAGAAAATGTCACTAGACCCAGGCATTTCAAGAATCTGAGGTAACCTATCCTGGATGTTTAGGCAGCTCCTCTCTGTGAGGAAGGCCATATTGTACATGCAGGAACCATGGGGGCACCATGGATGACCCAAGTCTGAACATGGAGT